TTGGCCAATTAGTTCTTTTCTATTTATAGTAGAGACGGGTCTCGTCTTGCTCAGGCTGGTTTAAGCTCCCCAACCTCCCGAGCAATCCACCCAACCTCCGGCTCCCAGAGAGCTAGGATTAGCAGCGTGAGGGCCACCAACGCCGGCTGGTTTGGATACGCCTTAGTCGCTGTTAAGGTACAAAGGATGTCGCAAGAAGGGAGGGCATCGACAAGGCATCGGGGGCATCCCACTCCTGGCAGACCAATTTAATTTTAGAATATTCATTTGGCCATGAGGGAGGGGTTCCAATTCAGTCAGCCAGTGGGGCTGGTCTTAAAATTTTATTTCACTTCACAAATCCCCCCCCCACATGGTTCTTCAACGTTCAGTGGGACACATACCCCCTGGGGACGTAAGGACACGTACTGGCCATGTAGCCATGGTCCTCTCTAATTATCCCATGCCAAGCAGCCCAGCAGGAGCTCAGCCCTGAAGGACAGATGGATAGACCAGCCGATGCCGGCCATCTGCCACGTGCTTCCTCCCCAGCCCCTCCTGATCCCACTGTGGGCATCTGACCCCAGACCGGCCCCTAGCTCCGCCCAGTGGGTGGCATCAAAACTTCGGGAAAACTTTCTTGTTTGGCTGGAAGGGCAACAAGGACAGTCCGAGAGAAACAGCAGGTGGTGGGGCAGGCAGAGAGCAAGACGCTGGCAGCAGGCTGTGCAGACACGGGCAAGTGGCAGGAGACGGAGGATGCTGGGACACTGACGCCTGTTTCGGAGGCTCCTACCAGAGAGGCCCTGGGCTCCACCAGGCCTGGCTGAGGCTGGAGAGTGGTCTCCTGCCCCCTCAAGTCCCTCCAGTCCTGAACACCCAGCGTTGCATGGCTCGTCTCTGTCCTTCCAAACCAGAAGAGCCTCCCCACAGCCCTGGCCGCCAACAGAAAGGCTGCTGCAGAAGCCCGCAGTGAGGAGGGCACGCTGCCCTCCCTGGCCACCCTGCTCAGATGGACAACACACTGCGCATCACACAAAACAGTCTCAGCTGGCCTTGGGACCAGGAAGTCTCTACCGTGCTGAGCAACACAGTCCTCTTTATCTCATGAACATGAACACCATGAGCTAAATATGACATTTCCCCTTTCTTTTTTTTTTTTCCTTTTTTTTTTGAGACAGAGTCTCACTCTGTTGCCCAGGCTACAGTGAGTGCCATGGCATCAGCCTAGCTCACAGCAACCTCAAACTCCTGGGCTCAAGCAATCCTACTGCCTCAGCCTCCCGAGTAGCTGGGACTACAGGCATGCACCACCATGCCCGGCTAATTTTTTCTATATGTATTAGTTGGCCAATTAATTTATTTCTATTTATAGTAGAGACAGGGTCTCGCTCTTGCTCAGGCTGGTTTCGAACTCCTGACCTTGAGCAATCCGCCCACCTCAGCCACCCAGAGTGCTAGGATTACAGGCATGAGCCACTGCGCCGGGCCTACATTTCCCCTTTCACCTCAGCTGCTGGGAAGTTCAAAATGATAGACATAGGCCATCCATGGCAAGTGTACATTACAGTCCACTTTTGTACAAACCGTATTCCTGATTCCATTCGTTCCATGGCCCCCTGCCCTTGTTTTTATTTCACTCCCACTTTCCATTTGTGCCACTGTGACTCATCATATGAGTCTCTGTAAACCTCTTAAAATCCCTTCTGGAACAGGCAGGGCCAGATAACATTTTTATAGCTTGGCAATGGATCTGAAAATACTTTGCAAAAAAACTGCATGGGAAGTCTGGGCGTGGTGGCTGACACCTATAATCGTAGCACTCTGGGAGGCCGAGGCAAGTGGATCGTTCGAACTCAGGAGTTCAAGACCACCAGCCTGAGCAAGAGCGAGACCCCTGTCTCTACCATAAATAGAAAGAAATTAGCCAAACAAGTAAAAATAGAAAAAATTAGCTGGGCACGGTGGCGCGTGCCTGTAGACCCAGCTACTTGGGAGGCTGAGGCAGGAGGATTGCTTGAGCCCAGGAGTTTGAGGTTGCTGTGAGCTAGGCTGACGCCATGGCACTCTAGCCTGGGCAACAGAGTGAGATTCTGTCTCAGAAAAAAAAGGGGAAAAAAAACCTGCCAGGGAATAGACTGCATTTGCTAGGGTATGAAATGTACAGGTATCTAAGACAAATCTCTCTTTTCCAAGGACTTATATTTAGATGGCCTACAGTGTATTTTTCTCCATACACGTACTGAAGGTGGCTTTGCAGGGCAGACGGAAGTCTGTGCACTTGTCCTGTGTTCTCACTGCTCTCCCCTCTTCCTTCACTTAGCTCCGAGAGACAGCGCACTGGCTGCTACCATCTTTCTCAACATCTAGAACTTCGGCTCATACCTAATGTTACAGCAAAACTTCAGCTAGTCTTGATGAGGGTCAGGGTGGTAATAAACATAAGTGAAAAATACTGGGAGACCACCCACGCTTCCTCTCCCTGCCCGGGAACCGGTTACTGTTGCTATGCGGCTCTCGGGGGGCGGGGCTCGGCGCTGCCGCACATCACCACCAGGGGGCAGCATCAGCCCCTCCCCCGCGGGACAAGGCTGGCACCAGGGGATGGGGTGCCTGCCCCTCCCTGCACGGGCGTTCTCATCGTGGCCAAGCCACCGTGCCCACGAGCCTACTGTGCCACACTGTTAGAAACTGTAGCCAGAAGTGCTTGACTAAGCTGAGTAAAATAAAAAGAAAAAAAAAAAAGATAAAAATAAAAACTGCAGCCAGAGGGAAGAGCTAACCAGTCTTTCATTTCCTCCCTTTTGATGGAGATGTGGGTACAAGAAAAATGTTCCTTTCTTTACTAGAAGGAAAACAGCAGCTTGACTCCCAGGGCCGGTGTGCCCCACTCCCGACTCCCTGCCTGGCTCTGCCTTGCCTCCCCATGACACCAACCACCTGCTACTCTGCTCTATAATTTACTGTTAATAAACCTGGTTCCCATCGCCCTCTGCCTCCCCTACTAGACTGCGGGATCCTAGGGCCAGGCTGGCTTCACGAACTCACAGGGTGGAGGGTCTGACCAGGATGGGACCCGCTGTGCTAGGATGAGCTGGGCCAGGGCAGCCGGTCAAGCCAGGAGCCTCGGGACACAGCTGTCAAGTTCAAGGATACACCTGGCCCCAGGCCTGGCTCTCAGCCCACCAGGCCCAGAACCCCAATTGGGCAACTCCTCCCTCTGGGATGGGCCCAGGTGATCAGCTCAACAGGTGGGCACCGGGCCCACAGCGCATCTGCTCATTTCTGGGGGAACTCGGGGTGCTGTGGACAGAGCTTCCCGTGTCCCCCACGGTGGATGAGTTCTCGGGGGAGCAAGGGCAGGGTGGCAGGACATGAAGGCAGATCATGAGTTGGCATCCCCATGGCTGCTTCAAAAATGTCCAGTTTCCAACCCTTATTAATAATAAGAAATATCGAGGCCGGGCGAGGTGGCTCACGCCTGTAATCCTAGCACTCTGGGAGGCCGAGGCGGGTGGATTGCTCAAGGTCAGGAGTTCGAAACCATCCTGAGCAAGAGCGAGACCCCATCTCTACTATAAAGAGAAAGAAATTAATTGGCCAACTAATATATATAGAAAAAATTAGCCGGGCATGGTGGTATATGCCTGTAGTCCCAGCTGCTCGGGAGGCTGAGGCAGGAGTATCGCTTGAGCCCAGGAGTTTGAGGTTGCTGATGCCACGGCACTCACTCTAGCCTGGGCAACAAAGCGAGACTCTGTCTCAAAAACAAAAACAAGGCCGGGCGAGGTGGCTCACACCTGTAATCCTAGCTCTCTGGGAGGCTGAGGCGGGCGGATTGCTCGAGGTTAGGAGTTCGAAACCAGCCTGAGCAAGAGCGAGACCCCGTCTCTACTATAAATAGAAAGAAATGAATTGGCCAACTAATATATATATACAAAAAATAAGCCAGGCATGGTGGTGCATGCCTGTAGTCCCAGCTACTTGGGAGGCTGAGGCAGGAGGATTGCTTGAGCCAGGAGTTTGAGGTTGCTGTGAGCTAGGCTGACGCCACGGCACTCACTCTAGCCTGGGCAACAAAGCGAGACTCTGTCTCAAAAAAAAAAAAGCAAACAAATAAACAAAAAAGAAATATCGAGGGGGGGAGGAGGGGCATGAGCAATATACATAACCTTAACACTTATACTCCCATAATACGCTAAAATAAAAAAAATAAATAAGAAGAAATAATGGAAATTGCTTGTGAAGACGCAGGCCCCACCTTCCCTGGAAGAGCAGAGAGGCCCAGCCACACAGCGCCGGGCCCTGCACAGCAGGACCGCCCACAGCTGTGGGCTGCCCCTCTGGACAAGGCAGACGACCCCCAGTGTCCCAGAGTTCCCACCACGCCCTAGACTCTCCCGACCCTGAGGCCTAGCGTCATGGGAACCATCCATAAGGAAGCCTGAGCCGCTGCTTTTCTTACGGCAAAGAGAAAATTAAGCTATTTCTTGTAACCCCATCTCTACCTAAAGCAGGAAAAGTCAGGATAGTTTAACTCCCAGAGGGCAATCTCATTTCCAGTTTGGGGGCAGCCCTCGTTCACTGCCTCCTGTGTGGTCCTGGCTCTTCGGGGCCTCACTGTGACCAAGGCCAACAGCTCAACCGCCTAGACAGGCAGAAAGGGGGTCACCATCATCGGCCCAGCCCACTCCCCAGGGCTGACGATGGAGAGAAAATGGGTGTTCAGTGCCTCGTGGAGAACAAGCCGTGAAGCGGAAGCCACGGCCCCTACGGCCTGTGCTGCCGAGGAGTGAGCTGACCCCAAGAGAGGACGCCGGGCCTTCTCGTCCAGCAGGGGACAGTGCAGTGGGCCAGGGAAGGACTCAGGCTCTGGTGTTTTCTGGCTGTGTGGGCTTCATCTGTGAGATGGGTTTACGCCACCTCCCTTTGGTAGGGCCACAGTTGCACCAAACGAGGCTCGCACAGGGCAGCCCTGGGCCGGCTCCTCCCACTCCCACCTGCCCGGGGCCCCGAGTCACCTTCAGGGGCTTTGTCCACCGTGTACCAGAGCTTGAAGCGGGCAGAGTGCTCATTCCTCAGCTCCTCCAGCTCGGGCCGCAGCAGAATGTCCTTCTCGGTCTGTGGGGCAACAGGGCCAAGCGGTCAGGAGGGACAGGTGCCAGAGACTGCCCTTGGAGACACCAAGTGGCTGACCACCACACCCGCCCCAGGCCACACACTTGGCAGAGCTACCAAGAAAGTGTCTGGCAGAGCTCAGCCCCGGTCACTGCCTCCCTGACCCGCCCCAAGGAGCCCACCATGCTGCCCGAGAAGGTGTTCCTCAAAATGCAGTCTGCAGATTGCTTTAGCGTTGTGGGGAAATGTGCACAGCATATTGAGGAGTGGAAAAGATGGAAAACAAAACTAAAGATAGCAGAGCTCAACTACAGGAAACAGGAAGGAAACATGCCAAAACGTTCAGGGATATTATCCCTAGGGGGTGGTTACATACTTAAAATAATGCAAGGTTCAGTTCAGAGGAGGAGGGTTTGCCACCTTCAGCCCTCAAGCAAGTCTTTCCACTTCTATCTGCCAGCCAAGGCCGGGCCCACACCTGCCCTGCCCCCTCTGCCTGCAGCCCCACCCCGCCCCCATCTGCCCCGGCCAGCTCCCCCAGCCCTTCCAAACTCAGCAGCCTCACCCCCCCAAGTCTTCCCGGATCCCAGGCGCATGCAGGGATCTCTCCCCGGCACCCACACCTGACCTGGCCCCATTACTGACCACAGGCCGTGGCCCGGTGTGTCTGCAGGTCACTCAGGGTCAGACAGGCCACTCAGGCTAGAGTGCAGTGTCACTGACCCCATGGGACTCAAAACCTGGGGCCAAAGAGAACTGCCAACCAGAAGGGTGACCGGCTAACCCCCAGGAGGGCGAAGGGCAGGGTGGACCCACCAGAAGAGCGGTCTCACTGACCTGCCCATGCCTTAGGCTAAGCTTCAGCAAGTAGGTTTCAGGGTGGCAACTTCTGCATCAATAAGGCATTCACAACCCACATGGCCAATTTATGCTCCAGAAAGTTCCACTAACTTGCAGCTCAGCAGCACACCCACGCAATCCCTCTTCCTACACTTTTGCCACCACTGGGTAATATTTGTTTAACTTTTGCCAATCAGAGTGATGGCAAAGAAATCTCATGTTTTAATTTTCTTTTTTTTTTTTAAATTTAAGAGATGAAGTCTGGCTATGTTGCCCAGGCTAGATAGAATCCATCTCCTGGGCTCTAGCGACCCTCCTGCCTCAGCATCCTGAGTAGCTGGGACTAGAGGCACCACGACTGCACCCAGCTTCATGTTGTAATTTCCATTTTTTATTATTAATAAAAAATAAAAATGTCCCTTATCTAGTTATATCTTATTAGTTTGTAAAAACTTTTTGTGTTAAGGATATTACTTTTTTATTCATGATGTATTGAATATCGTTTCCTAGTTATTTGTTTTCCTACCTTATCTATAGTGCTTTGTGGGGTTTTCTTTCCCTTCCTGAGAAGCTTTTAATTTTTTAGCAGTTGAACTCACCCATCTTTTCCTTTATGGGTTCTCCTTTGGTGTCCTGCTTAGACTGATCGCCCTCATTCATTCATCCATTCATTTATTCAATAATACTTCTTATAAAAAAGTTCACCCAGTACTTTTTTTTTTTTTTTTTTTTGAGACAGACGTTCACTCTTGTTGCCCTGGGGCTAGAGTGCCATGGCATCACTAAGCTCACAGCAAACCTCAAACTCCTGGGCTCAAGCAATCCTCCTGCGTTCAGCTCCCAAGTAGCTAGATAAGGAATGTGCCAACGATGCTCGGCTAATTTTTTCTTTTTTTTTTGTCTTTATTTTTTTTTCGAGAGCAGCGTCTCACTTTGTTTGCCCCAGGCTTGAGGTGAAAGTGCCATGGTCAGCCAGGCTCACAGCACCTCAAATTCCTGGGCTCAAGCATCCTACTGCCTCAGCCTGCCGAGTACCTGGGATACAGGCATGTTACCACCATGCCCGGCTAATTTTTCGTACTATATATTAGTTGGCCATTAATTTCTTTCCATTTATAGTAGAGACAGAGTCTCGCTCTTGCCAAGCTGTTTTGGAACTCCTGGACCTCGAGCATCACCCGCCTCGGCCTCCCAGAGTGCTAGGATTACGGGCGTGAGCCACTGCGCACGGCCAGTTGTTTTTTTAAAGAGAGAGATGAGGTCTTGCTATGTTGCCTAGGCTGACCTTGAACCCTGGGCTTGAGTGATCCTCCTGCCTCAGTCTCCCACGTAGCTGGGACTGCAGGCTCAAGCCAGCTCACCTGGCTGTTAAACTTTATTATTATAAGGCACAGCAGGGACCTATTTAGTCTTTTGCAAATAGCAACTGACCATGCTCTTGATTCATCTCTCTCCTCAGGTTTGAGACACCGCTGTACCGTACGCGACATCTCACATCTGCCTGGGTCTGTCTCTAGGCTGGCACTGCTCAACGGGACCGCCTGCAGTGAAGGGAGCTCTGTATCTGTGCTGTCCAGTGTGTGACCAGCGGTTACTCGTGGCTGTGGGGCCCCTGAAATGTGGCCAGGGAGACTAGGAAAGTGAGTTTTTTATTTAATTAATCTTAATTTAAATGCAAATAGCCACTCATTCTAGCATATTCCAGTGAAATTCTAGATTTTCTGTTGTGTGACCCTGGAATGCAGTAAGTCCAGCTCCATGTGTGGCTCTAGAACCACAGTGTTTTCATCACTGACACTTTTTAGTGTTTTAACATCTAGTGTATTAAGTTCTTCCTTGCTATTTTTTTCAGAACTTTCTTGGTTATGTGTGTATACTCTGTCTCCCAGGTTGTTTTGCATTAAAAGGGGAGAAAAGCCCACTGGGAGTCTGCGGATTATTTTAGAAAGAGCTGACATCTTGAGATCATCAGGTCTTCCCGTCCAAGAACAAGACCTGTCGTACTGCTCATCTGAGTCTCTGTTGCCCTCCTAGGCGGACTTTTCCAAGGCCACACAGCAGGCCAGGGCAGGCGGCAGTAGGCCTGAGGACGGGAGTATGAATCGGGAGCCGGAGGGGCGAAGGTCCAAGTCCTGTCCCAACACCCTTCAGCGCAGGGACCTCGAGTAGTCATCTGCTCATTTGTAAAACAGGCACCCATCCTCAGGCTGGCCCAAGTCCAGGCCTGCGTTCTTCCCTCCCGAATGGTGGCTTCCAAACTCTGCTCATGGCGAAGGGGGCTTTGAGGTTTGGAGAAAGCAGCCAGAGGTGGGGGTGCTCAGGAAGTCTCCTCCGAAAAGCAGCCCCTCAGTCAGACACTCAGACTCTGGACTGTAAACCTCACCCCCACCTGCTGCTGCAAAGGTTGCCAGGGCACAGAACATTCCAGCACCCCCACATCCCAGTCGCCCCAGCACCTCAACAGAGCGGTGTGGACCCCCTGAATGCCTGGCTGGGGCCTGAGTCCCTCTCAAGAATCCGAGTTTGCATGTCGTGGGGACTGTCTGTCTACTGACCTGGTTGGCAAAGAGCAGGTGGCACACGGTGTGGTCGTCTGGGTCTTTCATGATGGCGCGGATCACCTGCAGCATTGGGGTGATGCCTACAACACAGGTGGGCCCCGTGCTGAGTGAGCGCCAGGCGCCCACAAGGGGAGGGGTGCCAGGACAACGCCCCAACCCTGACCCGCAACTCTGCCACCTGGCGACTCTTGAGGGGCCCCGGGTCCCATGTACCTGTCCCTCCTGCGATCATGCCGACAGACTTCACTGTCTTGATGACGGGGTCGGATTTCTTGTCGGGACGGATGGCGAACTTCCCTGGGGGAAAGGGAAGGCGTGAGACCCAGCTCTCGACCATGCCACGCTCGGGGGCTGACAGGCGGCGGGGCTGCTCCCCTGCTTCCCCGTCCAAGGTGGGGCAGCCACCATGCAACCCCCGTCATCAGGTGAGGGAGAGGATGGGAAGGTGGGGACCCAGGACCCCGCCCAAACGCCAGAGCGAACACAGCGAGGAGCCCTGAGTGCAGACGGCAGCGCGGGGCAGAAGAGGCACCAGAGCTTTCCAGCTCCATCCTGCCGCTGGTTCAGACACTGAGTGAGCCAAACAGGCGTCTGTGGGCCAGGTTTGGCCCCGAGGAACGGCCAGTCTGCAAGAGCTGCGCCGGCCAACTTGTCCCCTACACAGCCAGGGAGGCTGAGTTCCCGGGGAGGAGACAGCTTGCTCAGCGACAGTCACCGTCCAGACACGGCAGGGCCAGCGCCTGCTTGGTAGCCAGGGGGTTCCGACCCAAATCACCTCTGCCCTGGTAGATCAGCAGCCCGTTCGGGCCCCGGAAGTCAATGGTGTCTCCCATCTGCATGCTTTCCAGGTACTGAGACATCTTCCCTCCGGCGGGGAACTTGGGATGGGTGTTCTTGAAGTAAACCTACAAGACACACCCACGGCCCTTAGTCCCCGGCCCCGGGTCTCCAGGCGAGCTCTTGCCCAGGGTGGGAAGTTAGCTCCTCTCCCCAGTTCTTCCCAAGCCCATGTGCGGCCTCTCTTATGGAACCCCGACCGTCAAAACTTACCCATCCCATGTCCCATCCTCCACCCAAAACCCCCTTGGGAAGCAAAGCAAAGCACGGTGTACTCAGCCAACCAACTCAGCGCATTAATGCTTCACCAAGAACTGTCTCTGTGGCCCTCCGTCTGGGGACATTTGTCAGCACAGCCCTGGGGGGTGGCTCAGCCTCGCCCCTCTGGGTGGCCCTGGGTGCCAGGCCAGGACTTTGACCTCTGGCCTGGCCACCTGTGAGCTCTCTGCCCTCAATTTGAATCCCCCCGGCATCTCCCCCACATCTGGCCGGAGTCATGTCAACATGACAGATGCCCAAGCCCTCGTCACCTTCTCTTTGCCTCCAGACAAAGCCCCTGCCTGGCCCCACCGACCTCTCCCACCTCTCGTGCTTGCCCTATGGCCACACCAGTCCTGCAGTCCTATCTGACCTCTGGGCCTTTGCACAGGGAAGGTCCTTTTCTTCCCTCTTCCCCTGGTCAACGCCTCCTCGGCCCCAGGCCTCACCTCACTGTTGCCTGCTCGGGAACCCGCTCTCGCCAGCCCACCCCTGCCAGCTCTGGGGCCTGTTCTGAGCACTTGTCTCGTTACTTGTCCCCTGTCCACTGGCTTCCTGTGTGACCAGGTGTTCAGCGTCCATCCTCCAGCCAAAGAAGGCTCCCGAGGCCAGGCCTGGGCACCCAGCATGGAAGGACCCCGTCCAGAGCCAGGACAGACCCATCCCATCTCCCCTCCCACCCTAAGCAGGAGGTCACGGCCGCGGCTGGTGGGTCTCTGACACCACACACCTGCGGCCTGGGCGTGGGTCGCCACGGGAAAGCTCCTATCTCTCATTTTCACGAAAATGTACCATGGGGTGGTTGTCATTTGTCTCTCACTCTTTTTTTTTTTTGAGACAGAGTCTCACTCTGTTGCCCGGGCTAGAGTACCATGGTGTCAGCCTAGCCCATAGCAACCTCAAACATCTGGGCTCAAGCAATCTTCCTGCCTCAGCCTCCCAGGTAGCTGGGACTACAGGCATGTGCCACCATGCCTGGCTAATTTTTTTTCTATATATTTTTAGTTGGCCAATTAATTTCTTTCTATTTATAGTAGAGATGGGGTCTCGCTCTTGCTCAGGCTAGTTTCGAACTCCTGACCTTGCGTCTCTCACTTTTTCTACTCAAGTACTGAGGATGTTTAAGATCCCTGCCAGTGCTTCTCTCCGGTCTGCTGCTTCTAACGCTCCATCTTCACGGCGCACGCCCACCGCCAGCCCCAGACAACCCCAGCTCCCAGGCTTTTGCAGGGGCACAGCAGGGAAGGAGCTCGCCGCCACTGCCTGCACAAGCCGGTGGGCCTTCCTTGCCCCTCTCCTGTACATACTGTCCTTGTTTGACGGTCCCCAGCCCGACCTCTGCCAAGACTCCCCACTTGGCTTTGTGGGCAAACCATGACTTGCTGTTTACTCAGACGCCAGCCCCAAGGGAGCACTGGGCCTTTGGAGATGAGGCAGGGGGGCACAAAGACCCCCTGGAGGCCTGGGCTGTTGCCACAGCCACCCCACCCCCCTTTGTCATCACGGTCTGGAGACTTCACCTTGATGACCAGGTCCACGAAGCCCTTGTCATCATCGCTGGAGACGGGCGTGTAGGGCCGAATGACCAGGTTTCCGTCGATTCGAGCTGAGAGGTAGATGTGTTGGCCTGCAGGACAGGAAAGGGTCACTCTGGGCCAGGAATCATCCCTGCAGGCGACCCCAGGGTCCTGTCAACCCACCGTCCTGTGCCCCACCTGGCATTCAGTGGTCTGGCCTTGCTCCACTGCCCCCTGCTACCCCATGGGGACTCCCATCACACTCCAGCTTCCTGCCTCCACGCCTCTGGCCCTGTGGTGCCACTGCCGGGGGCCTGGAGGCCTTGCCCACCCTCACCCTGACAGACTCACCCTCAAAGGCCTGGGGTGCCTGTCACCTCCTCCTTGAAGGCTTCCCTGCCCTCCCTAGTGGAAGTGCAAAGTTGCCACCTCTCTGACCTAGTGCCCCAGCCACCTGCCGGGCTCGGTGGGGGCGGGGCGGGGCAGGACTCACCGACAGGGAGGCCCAGGATGTGCTGGGGCGTCGGCAGGGCGAAGCGGAAGCGCCGCGTATCATGGCTGATGATCTGCAAAGAGGCCTGACGTGGTGAAACGGCGCCCAGGGCAAGGCCACTCGCCCTCAAGGACCCCACCCCTCCTCAGCACCCTACCCTTCCCCAGGGTCCCTGAGTGCCCTCTCGAAAGGCCATGCTGTGGCCACGTGTGGCTGCACACACCCGCACGCCTGGGTGAGGGGCAGAGGTCCGGCACACGCTGGGCGTGCCTCTGCTCTTGCTGGCCCAGGAGGGGCAGTGACCCGCCCAGGGACACATAATAAACTGTTCAAAGCAGGGAATGAACCTAAAGGGAGGATGCCAGATGGCCCAAAAATTCCAGGAGGGGGAATTCCAGACTCCACCTCTGCAGTCTGCTTGAGCAGTGGCCCGGGGTGGCAGGAAGGACTCACTGCAGAAGCCCAACTCAGCTCGGTCCGAGAAAGAGCTCCCCGACCCTCACAAGTGTCCCTGCACAGAGCAGCCACCTCGAGGAGGGACCCCACCACCACGCCTGCGAGCAGAGGCAAATCTCAGGAACGACGGGCCCAGCCACTCCGCCCAGCAGCCCAGGCCTCACACTGCCTTCCCAGAAGCCTTTGCACTCGGGACAAATGGAGCCCCAAGGCCTCCTGGGAGGTCACACACCCACAAGCCAGACAATTTTTGGAGGAAGAAGATAAATGAGGGAAAGACTACCATGCTGCACAACGTCTAGCAGGGCAGCGTGGCAGAGCATGGCACAAAGTACCGAAAAGTGGGCCCACCCGCTGACCCGCAAAGCCACTGCCCAGCTACACGGGGGTGGGAGGGAGATGTGACTCTAGGACATTCGTCACATGCTCAGTCCAAAACTGAAGGGTCCTTTGTGTAATGTCCCTAAGGTGAAATACTAGACGGTCATTGGAAAAAAAAAGAGAGAAAAAAGAAAAGAAAACAAAGCAGCTCCGGGTTAAACATGAAAAAGTATCCATGTCGTATGGCTGAATAAAAAAAAATTCAGATTATCAAAAAATAAACTAAGTATGCACACAGCTGCACCACTGTACACCACTGTGTATGAAAGACACGCCTGAAAGGGGTCTGGTAGGTACACACTGACTCGGGACCTGGCCCTGGGGTGTGCCAACGGGGGGAGGGGAGAGAGGAATGTTCACACTTCACAAAAACCATCTTATAGTGAGCACATATAAAGCACACATTACTTCTGGAATTAGAAAACGACAGGCTGGGCGTGGGGGAGCGTGCCTGTGGTCCCAGGTACTGGGGAGGCTGAGGCAGGAGGATCGCTGGAGCCCAGGAGTTTGAGGCTGCAGCGAGCTATCACTGCACCACTTGTACTCCAGCCTGGACAACAGAGCGAGACTCTGTCTCTAAAATAAAAATAAGTAAATAAGAAGCAGTAACAACAAAGAAAGAATTTCAAAAAATAGGTTTCAAAACATTACAATTTCAAAAAAATATAAAACAACCGAAAAACATTACAATTTCAGTTGGATAGGAAAAAAAATGTGTTTGTGCCCACGTATGTATGAAACACATTACATTACAAGGATAAGTGCGGTGGTGATTTATATTTTTTTCCCCAAATTTTATCCTTATAGGGTAGATTTGTTTTTTATTTTGTTTATTTTGTTGGTTGTTTCTTTCTTTCTTTTTTTTTTTTGAGACAGAGTCTCATTCTGTTGCCCGTGCCAGGATGCTGTGGCGTCAGTCTAGCTCACAGCAACCTCAAACTCCAGGGCTCAAGCAATCCTCCTGCCTCAGCCTCCCGAGGAGCTAGGATTGCAGGCGTGTACCACCACACCTGGCTAATTTCTTCTGGTTTAGTTGCCCAGCTAATGTCTTTCTATTTCTAGTAGAGATGGCATCCTGCTCTTGCTCAGGCTGGTCTCAAACTCCTGACCTGCTTTACCTGGTGTTAAAACCAAGTCACCTCAGCCTCCCAAAGTGCTAGGATTACAGGTGTTGAGTCTCCGGCCTTACTTTTTGTTTTTGGGGTTTTTTTTTTTTTTGCTTCTCTCTAGTTTTTGACTTCTCTGTGAACTCCTGGGACACTCAGACACACGCCCAGCGGTCACAGGAAGCTGCCAACTCCGTGCCACAGAGACTTGAGACGCACGGCACAAGCCCACTGTGACGCTAGGGCCCAGTGCCTCGGGCAGGTGACTTTCTCTGCTCTGTGACTCACTTTTCCCTGCCGTCCCTCCTGCAGCAGCTGGGGGTGGCCAGCAATAGAGTAAGGGCGCTGTGAAGAGGGCGAGGGCCCGAGGGAGGCAGCCTCGCTGGGCGGCGAGGCAAAGGAGGCAGAGGACGGTTTTAAGCATAACCAGAGGATCGAAAAAGAAAAGCGTCCAACGGGACGACAGCGCGAGCCTCTTGGCTGGGCAGCTGGAGACCGTGCGGCTGAGACCACTCAGGGGACATCCAGGCCCGACAAGTGAGAGATGGGAGCAATGACCCTGGGGGGGGGCCAAGGAGGAGGGAACTGGGCTCAGCCTCCCTCACCTTGTTTCTCCATCTGCTAAATGGGGGTTTGGGCCCACAAGGCTGAGGAGTCCCTCCCACTCTCACCTTCCACGGGACAGTCGCTATGGCCAGGAGAACGGGCCCTGCGGTCAGAGAGACCTGGGTTTAAGTCCCTCCACCACTTCCTGGTGGCCTTAGCAAAGGACATCGCCTCGCTTCCTCCATGTCTACAGCAGGCAGATCCCAGGACCTACTTCAGAGGGGCCCAGGCCAGAGCGCGGAGCAGGCGCCGAGAAACGCCGGGCGCTGCTGGGGGAGGCGGCGCCGGCTCTCACCTCCTTGTCCACGAGCCGCAGCGGGTACTTGATGTCCGGGCTCTCGAGGGTGATGGCGGGCGAGGAGCGCTGGAACAGCTTCATGAGCAGGCTGTACAGGAACCAGACTGGGGAGAGCACCACATGGCCCAACTGCAACAACAGGGACAGACCCACCAAGTCAGTGCAGGGGCGGGGCGGGGCGCCTGCCACCTGCCTTCCCTTCAACCTTTCCGGTTCATTCACACTCCCAGGCCTCCCTCTGCTGGGAATGCCCCTCCCCACCATGCTCATCCAGAGAAGCTACAAAAGCCAGACTCATGACACCTGTCACTGCATTACTCAGTCTTCTATGCTCAGTACCACGAGAAAACTTCTTTGAAAGGCTCCATTTCCTGCGAGGAACAGGAACAAAAAAGGCTACGTATCTGAGCATGTATACCTTTTCACTTTAGCTGCCAGGAAGCTCAGAGTAAAATTAATCTTGAGCACTGTGTATCTGTGCTCCCTCCTTCCCTTCTTTCCTATAGTCAATTTTCCTGGTCCTGTAAGTTCTAGCTCTATTTAGACAAACAGACAAATGAATAATAATCCCGACTCAGAATCTACCTTTCTGAGAGGCCTACACTGACCAATGGCTCTATGGTATCTTTGAACCCCATCCTCAGGGCCGCTGGGGTTGAAGCTCTCGCCTCCTCGCCCTCCCTCAGCCCACCGAACAAGCCAGTGAAGTGTGGGTACACTGAGTCACTCCCACAACTGACGTCCACGGGTCTCTCTGAGCCCTGGGGCTCTGCCTCAGCTGGGAGGGGAAACTGAGACACTAAGCTGGGCATTGGGAAGCTCCGGCCCTCACTGGCCACGTGGCCCTGGGCAAGTGCCTTCCCTCCCTGCACTGGACTGGACCAGGTGACCTGCAAGGTCCCACAAAGCTCTGAGATTCCGCTGCTCAGATCGCCACAGCCATCACCCTCCCGACGACCCTGTGAGCTGGCGCTGTCATCATTGACCCAGAGGAGGGACCAGCTCAGAGAGGTGGAGTGACTCACCTCGTCACACAGCCGGCAGGTGGGGAGCTAGGTGGGGAGCTACAATTCCAACCTGAGTCCACCTACCTCCCAAAGCAGCCCTCAGATGTCAGGCCCGTGCTGACCCGCCCACATGGCCTGAGAGGCTGTTCCTTGCCTGCGCCCTGCCCCCCACACCTCAGCCTCACAAGACCCTAAAAGGTGTTTCAGAGTTTCTCAAAACAGAAAAACAGCCAGGCGCTGTGGCTCACGCCTGTAATCCTAGCACTCTGGGAGACCGAGGCGGACGGATCACTCGAGGTCAGGAGTTCGAAACCAGCCTGAGCAAGAGCAAGACCCCATCTCTACTAAAAATAGAAAGAAATTAATTGGCCAACTAAAAATACATAGAAAAAATTAGACAAAAATGGAGCGCATGTTGTTGGGCGCATGCCTTGTAGTCCAGCTACATGGGGAGGCTGAGACAGAAGGATCGCTTGAGCCCAGGAGTTTGAGGTTGCTGTGAGCTAGGCTGATGCCACGGCACTCTAGTCTGGGCAACAGAGTGAGACTTTGACTCAAAAAAAAAAAAAACAAAAGACAGAAAACCCAAACCCCATGGCCAGGTAGCTCATGGCTTAGGCTTCCCTTGGAGAGAGGACACTGGCAAAAAAGGCAAACCTGGCCTCCCACGCCATTTCTTAGGCTATTTTGGCAAAATCTGTTTTAGGTAGAGACAGCGGTCATCACTCTTGCTCAAGGCTGGTCTTGAACTCCTGAGCTCAAGTGATCTCTCCGCTCGGCCTCCCAGAGTGCTGGTTACCAGGCATGACCACCACGCCTGGGCCATATGATGCGTGCTTTCTTTAACCTAACAAAGTCTCCTTTTCACTTTGGTTGCCAGGGAAGCTTTCAGAACCAAGTTCCTGGGCTCGCATGACTTTTTTGTCTCCTTCTCTTGTGGGATCTGCTATGTGGGTGGGATCTCTGAGGAGCATTACTCTGCAGAACACAGACCTGGAAGTGCCCGCCTGCTCTTATCGGGGGCTGAGATGTCCCATTCTTGCCCCGGAGTGCCCGTCCCCTTGCCTGGATTGCCCTGACAGAACTCACCCACTCTCCACAACTCAGGGAGGGTGCTCTGGGCTGATGTCCTGTCTCTTAGAAGGAAAGAGGCCCAAGCCATTTAAACAAGGATACCATTCCTAGGACTTACAATGAAGACCGAATAATAGCAGGAAAAACAGAGTTTAATAATACAGGCTGCCATCTCCTTGTCACACGGGGAACCTACTGAAAATGTTTGGGGGAATTTGAGAGGGGTTGAAGTTCTTCCAAGTTTTGTTTTGTCTTTACAGTATTCCTCTTCTAATAATTTTGACATAGGAGGGACACTGGCATGTGGTGGCCAA